TCTTTGATTAGCCGCGTTCATAGTCGGCATTAAGAGCGCCAATGGATTACGTTGAGGTGTGATGCCACGACACATGGCCTCCTTCTCTGCGCTCTGTGCCGACTGATGAACTGCTAGACCGCCTCTTTCCAACCACCTCGGAGGCAACTATACAGGCAACTTTTACCGAACTACCTTTCGTCCACCACATCGAGCCCCCTCCCACGTGTCGACTAACGTCGTCCCACTCACCTCCAACTCTGGCCCTCGGTCCTATCCTGTCGGGTGGTGCGTGTGTGTTTGTTGTGTCATGCTCCCCTCTCTCTCTCTCGTCGCTTTCCCTCCCCCCCCCCCTACTGTCTTTCATTTATGCCAAAAGGACTATTTCGACACCTCTTCCATACACGACGTCCCTCCACCTACGGTGTTGCGTGGGTCCTTGCTTGCGATCCGGAGGCCAGGAAAATGTCACTGAGTCTCACAGGACTGTCCGACATAACACGTTTTGTACGTGTTTGTGTTATGCACGTACAATTGTTACCACTTTATTTTACATTTTGATGGCTTTTTATGGTCGATTAATTTTGTGTTTGTCGGACATGCAGTTGCGTTGAGATGATATGGGCGCCAGTCTCTCGCCTCTACACAGGGGACGCACTACATTATCTGGCCGCAAACTGCATACTGGGATTTTTTTTTCGGCAAAAATTCTCCGTCTCGAGTTTTACGAGGAAAAGGGAGACTTTAAGGACGGGAATACAGCAGCATTTTGGTATAGTTTAGGAGCGTTGACAGTGATAAACAATTAACGATTAAGAAGTTCGTTCAAATGGATTTCCCGGGGTTATTTAGATTCCTTTTTTTTTTTCATTTAAATTGTAACATAAGGCGGTCAGTATCAACAGTCCTGCCAGTAACGTTACTATATTATCAATGCTACTTTAGTTATAGCCTGATATATGATAGCTAACTTTACAATGTTGTGATGTGACGTTAGCTAACATTCTGTAGCTAACGCCGGTCACTCACCAAGATAGCTGCCCAGTTCTCCTCACACCACAGCTCAATTTCTCTCCGATGGCCGTTATTTCTTCTAATCCTTGGCTGCTCCTGGTCTCTTGGACGCCTAGCAGGCTCATAATTATAAGGTTGTGGTCCGTCATATGCATTCGAATATTCATGTTCAACTTCTTCTGTGTCTTCTGTGTCGAAACTAGCATTGGGAACTATGTTTATTAATACGTTACACCGGCCGCTCTCCCCCTTGTGTCCCCCGTGTTACGTCACACGCGGGGGGTCACGTGCCGAGGCTTTTTTATGCGGAAGTGAACATTTCTTACAAAAACGACGCCAGATGTCACTATAGTGTATATTTCTGTATATTTTTTTGAAAATCTAGTGTATTCATCATTTTCCTACACATTTATTCACAGGTTTCTTTAACCTGGAAGTTGCTCTTTAACATTGCCAGATAGAGAATTTGGCCTCTGGGGAGATTTTTGCTCTGCGTGTGTCTGTCTATACTTGTAAGTGGATTAATGAAGGAAACAAGTCTTTGTGTTTACTTTTTGATTAGTGTGATTATTTATATTCAAAGATTAATAAACTGACGGATTAAGACATTTGACTGCTATCAAAAATCAATATTATTTTGGTGCCTGCTTAATTCAGTGGGGCAGACACCGGAGCACTTTGTATTTGGCAGCCTAACAGATAAACCCCTGTGTCTGACTGACAGTAGAGAGCATTTATTTAAAGAGTCTGGGCTCCCCGAGGCAGAGAACAAAGCGCAGCGCCATCATCACAACAGTATTGTATAACTGAATCAGGGAGAAAAACTGAAAACAGACCTTATTATTCATGTTTCATATTGATCAAAACACTATCTGTATTTTTAAGAATTAAAAAGGCGTTGAAATAAATCATTTTGGGTATTGAAGGGGTATCAATGGACGGTGAAATGCAATTCAGTGCTAAAAGACGTGACTAAAAGCTAGAAAATGGTTCACATCATGTGAAAAGCCTTTGTTCTGGTGGCAGATGAACAACATAATGGTACAATATGTCCCCATGATTTTATCAAAACCACTCTGATCTTCATCTCTCCTCATCCTCTCACCTCTTTTTGTTCATTGCAGATTCTGCACAGCCAGGCAGGACTCGTCCTTCCGTTGCTGAAAATCCCACATTTGCTGCACATGTGCTGCGAAGAAACAAATAACAGACTTAAGAATAGGTACGAATATCATTCTATAAATAATACTGTGACAATTTAAAGGTAACTAAGTATAATGAGGAAAACTTATTAAAAGTATTAAAGCGTAAAACATCCCCTAATAAATCATCACATTAAAGTTACTCATGCATTGGTGAAAATCCGATTTGAACTGCTTTAGTTTTCTCTGTTATTCTATGAATTGTTTTGAAAATAGTGAGAAATGAAAGTTACAACTTCACAATATTCCGTCCAACAGTTCAGACCTCAACACTACTAAAACTGTATGATAATAAAACAAATGTACAATTACTAAAAAAAAAAACACAGCTTTACATTTGCGAAGCTGGAACCATGAAATGTTTTTACTTTTAAAAAACCTGAAACGATCAAAACAGGTCCCAATACATTTCTGGTTAATCCACTAATTGTTTTATCTTCCATCTGCATTTTCGTATATTGAAAAGTAACAAGTAACTAAAGCTTCCAAATAAATATACGCAGCACATCGTACAATATTTCCCTCAGAATTGTGTATAGTAGAAGTGGAAAGTGACATAGGAATAAAAACTGAGGTACCTGAAAATGTGTACTTGAGTAAATGTACGCATGGTTACATTCCACCACTGCATGACTAAGACATGCACGGAGCATTAAACCTACGGATTATAGTTCCTGGTGGCAGGTGCACAGAGCTCATATATTTTACAGTTCACACAGTACCTAGTAATTGAGAGCAACAAGCAGCAGAGGCATGAGACCAGGATATGCAGAGTGTATGTTAAACCCTGTTAGCATATGGCCCACTGGGTGCTCATCACCATAGAAAAACCTCTTAGGATCTACACAACATTATAGAAAAAATAGTAAATAGGGCAACCTAATATCATCTGGGGACTCTCTGCAATACTGTCTCCTTTCTGTCCCTGTTCAAGCAGAAAGAGTACAGCTCCACCTACTTTGTTGCACTGCACACAGAGGACAGCTGTGACCCCCTGTGGCCCGAAGGACGCCCCGCACAACAGACAGTGGGACTGCCCGTCACCACACGCCGTCTTCTTGATGTTATCCAGCCGACTGGAGAGGCGCCTGAGAACACATGGAAATAGATGTAAGCACAACAACAAAAAAAGCTTGGTGTTACACCAAAAAAAACGCTCGGCTCAGAGAGCATCTCTGCACGGACAGCTGATTTAATTCTGTGCAACGGAGACAATACTGTAGTTTTCCATCTCACTCAATCCTCTCATGCTCCGTGGCCTCCATCATGGCAGCACGAGCCAGGACGCCGTTGATGATCTCCTTCTCCTCATCCGTGAGCTCCTCCCCCGGGGGGCCGCCAGACATGTTCATCGTCCTCTCCATCCTGAACCAAAAACACACAAAGAGAGAGACGCAGAGGCATGCAAAGTAAAAATGCAGCTCACACAAAAAGGACTGCGACTCCAAAAAGTGCATCACTAAGGAGAGCGAGACACTGAGGTCTCAGGACAGCTGGAAACTTTTTTGGCTTAAAGCAAAGCAAAGCTGCATAGTGTGTCACAAAGAGGCTCACTAGTGACTTTCTTTAAATAATACATGAACTGGAGTTATCATCTGAGAGCATATCATGCATTTTGTTCATGTGTCTCAAATCACCCGCCTGGCATGATGTAAAAAAGAAAAAGTTTCAAGGCAACAAACTTTCATTTTTTAGGTCTTAGTTATTCTTTCTATATATGTTGTACTTCTCTGTCATCAAGCATTTTCAATCTTTATGTTGTCTGTGGTACATACTGTACAGTACTGTATATGAACCAGCTTAATCTCCATTTGTCAACTTTGTCATTCATTTTGTCACCCTAGATGTGTTTTGAGCAGCTTCTTTTAAATCAGTGCAGCAGTAATAATCTACCTAGGATTAATGTCTATCAATATTACTCTTGTAAATCCTGGGCTTTACACATTAAGAGTGTTAGGGAATAATTTGCTTAGGTATTCAACCTTTGACACAGTTCATCATTTTCTCCTCTCACTGTCTCCTTTCTCATGGCATAGGTCTACGGCCTTGGGTATTGCTGATATCTCTCTTAAGGAGGAGCAGCTTGGGCGCTTTGTTGTTGCGAGTCTATGACAGAGCACAAGCCGCCATGAGGTAGTTTACTGTTCAGGGACGTAGGCTCCCTGGCGCACATTCTTTTCTATGGACGAGAGCTATAGTTAGATTCAGGGTCCATAATGTTTAGTCTCACTGATGAAGAATGTTGATTATTACACTGTGAACTAGTTAAAACCTCGAGCTACAGAAAGAGTTCTTCAGAATTGGCAACCGCTGTGTCAACTCGTGACACACCACCTGTCTTGTCAACTCTCCGGCCGAAACTCCAAATAAACCATCAGTGTTTGCCATCAAAGCTCCAGCTCTCCTCGTGTCTCTCTGAGTCCTGACTCTCCATTGCTACAGAAGTTTCCCTTACAAAGAGTACAGGGATTCTATGAAGACCATGTAACTTTCAGTTAAAAAGACCCCGAATGCCCAATATGATGCAATTTTCTTCACATAAGGATCTTTGGATAATGTTATACTTAATGAAATGCATGTTGGGAAAGCTAACACTGACAATGTTTCTATTGTTAAGTACAGTACAGCAAAGTGCAAAGGAGTCTAGTGAAAAAAAAAGGTGTCGTAAAAAAAAAACACATTTCTCACTTTATAATGAATAACAGATGAAGATTCAGCGTTTAGAACTCACAAAGACACAGCTTCAAGTTGAACCTCTATTTGAATTGCTGAAATGTAAATACAATGTATTTATGCCAAAGAATATAAGTGGGTGTTTTTAAAGTGCCTGTTTATGTTCCCGAAGTTTTCCCCAATGTACTGTATCTCAAAGTAAGCTGCAAAATAACAGCTTCAAACAATCTACCTTTTTATTTCACACAAAAAGCAATCAACATAAAAACCTCTCTGAAACTTTACGGCTGCTGGATGTTTGGAAAGCTTCCAGAAACTGTCTTTTAGGTTTAAAATCACTTCTTGCCAACTGCCAGCGCAGAGGCCAAATCTCCTGCCAGCACAAATCAAATGCACTCAGCTTGGGAACAGAAGGATTGCTGTTTTTTAAACCTCAAATATGTTTCCCATGATGCACAGGAACACACTGCATACATTTGGAAATTGTGGTATCTGGAATAGGGTTTGTGGTTTGTCAAGACGATGCAGACAATATATTATAATAGCCTATTTGGTAACAAACATTTCAAAATCATATACCGACTATGTTAAATATTAGAACATTTATCGGGTGAGCCTTGCCTGTTTAACATTAGCACAAAAAGAGTGAATGTCAGCCGTATTTTACCCATTTAAGGGTAAGGTAGGCTCTAATTTAAGTGTTTATACAGCATTTAAAAAATAAAGAATCCACCCAGCAGTAATGTGGGAAAAGGTGAGAAGTTAAACCACTGGAGGTCAGCAAAACAAGATTTGCACCAGCTCTTAAGTTGCTCTTTAAGACAAAATGTCAAGAGAACTGCCAAAATGTGATTCTATATTGTTCCAAAAACAATCAAATGTGTTACTACCGTGGCTAATATATATGTTCATAAAATACAGCAAAGATTCTGCTATAACCCCAATATTTCCTTATTTGCATTCTGCTGTGTTCAGCAAACTCTAGTCAAAGGGTGTTTTCAGAAACTGTAAACAACAAAAAGCCTGCGCACCTATTTTGGAAAAAGATTTAAGTGAGAGATATGAAATATTTGATCAAGGTGGCTATTTTAGTCGCATGCTGCATAATGTGAAGCACAAACCTTCAGGCTGCAGATGGAGCTTAAATTGCTGCTCTGCTGTTTTGGGATGATTTTAAGGATTTCAAACACGTGCCTGCCTCTCTTCATAATGTGCACTTGACCACAGCTCTAAAATGCTACAACTAGCACTTTCTATTTCTCCATTAATGAAGTGAATTGGCTCTTTGTAATCCTGGGTGCAATGCAGATGTGACTAACTGTCTTCTGATTGATCTGGGTTTTATCCATTTTAGCCCCACCAGCTGTGCTTGGCTTGAAAGATGGTGACGTCATTAGTGGAGGTTTGTGTGAAAGTATTTGATGGATTGTCATAAAATTGTGTACAGCGATCATGTGAAAAGATGCCTAGAAGATAAACCGTAACCACTTTGCTTTACCTAACTTTTCAATATAGACATATATCTGCTTTGCATTCAGTGTTAGTTAGCAAATATTAGCATGCTAACAAACAAAGCTGGAGAACATCGTAAACAGTATGCCTTAGCATGTTGGCATAAGCAGCTAATGATGATTCATTATGTTTTCATGAGACGTGACTAAACTAGCTTTCTGTGGCTCCTTTTTAAATATGAAATATTGTTATGTAACAGATCACAGTTTATTTGTGAAAAATATTGTGTTAGAAGTTTAGACCAAAAAAACTGGCTTCAATTCATGTAAACATATTTGCACAGAATAAAATCAGTGACCGTGTCAGACTCAAAGCAAAAAGCAGTAGAAGCAGTCCAGAGATGTAACTGTCCGCTCCGCAGTCAGTGTGCCCCGGCTGGAGGAGCACTCCATTTAAAAGCTCCGGGAGGAACTCATTTGATTATCCATGACCATGATTTATTTCAGCTCTAACTCACCACTGCTGCACCCGCGCCTGTGCCTTACAGTAAATTCCCAAACATCTGCCAGTCATGTCCAAGTGCACGGGCCTCATGAACTTGCGTGTTGAAAATGTGCCGTTAATTGGGGCCGACTGCGGACAGTGAAGTGTTGGCAGTGTTGGCTACATGTAATGTGTTGTTTGCATGCCTCGAGACGTTTTCACTGCGGAGAAGCGCACTCATTATCTCTGACAAGAACATTGTTAAGAGAGAAGCATGACCCCAACTTCTCGCCTGTGGTCCAGCCCAGACTGCTGAGTCAGCCTGCACCGCCCTGATTGAGTGGTCCTGCACACATTTTGCTGACAGTATAGAGAGAAGAAACTGCACAGATTCCAAAACACATAAATTCCCTCCATTGTAAGCACATGTTATGCCCCATTCTGTAAGGGTCGTGATGATGGCCAACCCCAATGTATCAATAGAATCAGTCTCCATTTGGATCTGTCAATGTCATCGTTTCACTTTTAACTTGTAGAGTAAGAGTGTAAGAACGAGCCGCTGTATGACTTTGACCAAGCATTAAACATCACAAAAGATCAGCCAGTGGCTGCTGAGCACGGAGGTTTTAATGCCTCACTTACTTAACGGCTCAGTGCGCTTCATCCTCCCGCTCCCCCTCTTTCCTCCCTGTCTTCACTCCAATGCATGTAAATGTCAAGGATTGCTATCATTGTGGACGGTGGCAACTTGACAGATTGATGTCTGTGAGTGTCAGTGTGTGTATGTATGTGTGTGCGAGTGTGTGCCTTGAAGGGTTCAGTGAGAGAGAAAGGTGGGGTCAGTAAGAAAGGAAATGTTCTAAAATAGCCGACACTTTCAGCCTGTGAGTCACCACTCAACAGAAACACACGCGCGCGCACACACACACAGTGTCAATATACATTAAATCACTAGAGCGTGGACGGTGTGAAAATTACCAATTGGTAGAATATCAAAAAACGTAATGGGTAAGGAAATAGTATTCAGTTTTTAAATTGTAATGAAATAAATCAATGGTTGAAGAAGCATTCAGGTAATTTACTCACATAACATTACGTACGTAACGTAACATTACAACACTAAATATACTATACATATAAAAAAGTTGTGAATTTAATATTATACTAAAGTATATATATGCATAAACCGTAATGGCAACTAAATAGAAATGAGCTTATTCCCTTCCCTTCTTTCATATACAGTAATCGCATATTTTTAAAGTGTGGTATTGCAATTGTACCGAGTGATTTGTGTAAATATTAGTGAATATTTTCCTTTTAGATGTGGAGGAGTAGATATTCATTAGTATGAACATAATCAAGTAAAATTACACATACTTCAACATTGCCCTGGATTAAATGTACTTGAAATAATAAGATTGTAAATGTAATATCACAAATATGCTTTCTCATCTATAATAGATTGTAAATAATTTATCATATTAGAAATGTTTTAGAGTCAGGGTCACCAACACACACATTGAAAAACACTCAAAGACACGCACATGCACACACACACACGCAGTACGAATAGCCTATTGAGTGGAGCGGCCGCTGCCCTACAGGAGATCGATGTGCTCTGGAGCTCTGCAGCAGGACGCACTCCTATCTGATTCTCAATGTCATCCAGTGAGGGGACAGAAACTGCTTTACACATGACAGCATATCAATATCACCCCTCTTTTCACCCCATGACCCCCTCAATGGGTCTCATGTGC